ATCTCTCTCAGATGATCCTCTATACAGATCAAATATTTGTTCGCAAAACCTGCGCACTAAATGCCAACCAAAGCGCACTGAATCCTTAGCCAGAAGCAAAGCAATTCCGCTCAAATATTTCAGAAGCATCCGAAGCATTTTATCATGTGCATTGACTTCTAAAACCCTAACCATCACGCAATGGGAAACCTTTGTTAATATATCTGCTATCAAACTGTGTAAGACACATAAAGCTACAGTAGTTTTAACTGCAAAATCTAAAACTTGAACTGCTTTATGAGTAATAAAATCAACTAAGCTAGAGGGATCAGAGAGAGGGAGGTGGGTGTGTCTCACTTGAACCAGGGGGAGGCTTCATTGACCAAATTGAGGATTCTATTATAATCTGTAGTGTCCTTGCTTTGCTTCATTAAAGCACACCTGACAAATGTTATTGCAACGTCCAACACCATCCAAGCATACTCTTGGTCCACGTTTGCTCCATTCAAAGGCGGCAACAACGCCCTCCTCTCTGAAACTGACGATTTTGACCCTGTCCCTTTGAAGTGGCAATCTCCCCGAAGGTTGTCCAGTACAAGGAATGCTTCACGTTCTGCCTCTTCGTACATCTTCCACGCCTCCAGACAGCGTATGAAACGCAATTTCTGTATTTGAACTGAGTAAGGTTTTGCGTCCAGCTGCGAAGACACTAAATCGAGGCGGCATAGGCAAAGCCTATAAATTTTGAGCAGATTGAGCGCCGATTCCTCGGAAATTTTGGAGGTCTCGGAAAGTCGTTTGGGAAGTAGCGATAATGCTTTGTTCAGAAACGGAAGGAATCGTTTGGTTAGAGCTCGGATGGCAGAAAAGTTCTCGGTGGATTTGGATGAATTGCGGGCTTCAGCTATAGAGGAGAATTCGTAGAGGTACTGATTAAAACCTTCGTATGTCTTTCCTGAGAACTCGAACGCGGATTGGAGTTCAAATAAGAGGTTAACGGATGTATCCGCGTCGGCGGCGGAGCCCATGGCGGTTGTCGAGAATCAGCGGCAAATGAGAGTGAAGAGATGGGGGCTAGAGTCTAGACCACTGCGAGTTTTTTAGCGAGCGGGAAAATGAAGCACCCAACTCTCCAACAAGGGAGCCGTTTTTTGGCCTTTTGGCCTAGATATTGATAAAAACAAAAAAAAGTGAAACATTTTTAAAAATTCCAAACTTGTGACCAACATGATAGCCCATGCAATCAGGGGGCGGACCGTAGTACAGACCCAGAGGGACAACCGCCCCCCAACAAAAAAAATTCTAGGGTATATATATAGGAAAAATAATTTTCGACGGCATCTGTGCAGCGAGTGTGACGCGCGACGAGGCTGAGGCGGAGGCGACCTGTGCGGAGGTTCTGAGGTGCGGCGAGGCTGAGATGGAGGCGGAGGCGTCCTCTGCGGCGAGGTTAAGGCGAGTTGGAGGTGAGATCGGTCATTTGGTGCGTGCGATTTGATGCGCAGGGGAGGGGAGAAGACGCGCGATTGCGCGGGGAGGGGGAGAAGAAACGCGATTGCGCAGGGGAGGGGGAAAAGAAAACGATGCGGATGACTTTTTGGGGAAAATAAAAACGGGTAACAGTTTTGGAAATCAAAACTTAATTAGTAATTTTCAGGCCATTTTTCTAGTGTTTTTCCCGAATTAAATTCGGATTAATTAAATATTTATCGAAATAATGCAGCGTTGAAATTTATATTAATTTTTCTACGGAGTATATAAGAGTCAGTATAAGACGAAAAATAACCTAAATTGTATAAATAAAATCAGTACATTTTTAATCGATTCATACCAGAAATGCCCCTAAGTATATAATGAAATGTTATAATTCATACTAAAATCTTAAAAAATAATAAAAAATCATAACAAATTAAAAAACCTACAAAAATAATAGAATAATAAAAATTTATTTTTAAAATAATAATAATAATTTATTTTCAAATATGTTTTTTAAAAAATAATAAAAATAGTAAAAATCCATAAAAAAATATATAAAAACATGGATACCTTTCCCACCGCCTCTCAGCACCACCACCTTCGATCGGTAAAAATTCTGCCTCTTTTAATAAAAAATTCCATTTTCCCCGAAATGCCAAGAAAATGACATTATTACTCTTCATGATGTCAAATTTTCATTGAATCTGCCATTATTATGGCATTGCTAAAATTGTTGGCAGATTTGTTTTTTTATTAAAGAAATTTTAAAAAATAGTAAAAATCCACAAAAAATGGATACCTCTGATCGGTGAAAATTCTGCCAATTTTTGTAAAACAAAATGTCATTGTTTTATGAAAATGTCAATAAAATAGCATTATTACTCATCATAGTGCCACAATTCTCATTGAATCTACCATTATTATGACATTATTAAAAATGTTGGCAGATTTCCAACCGGTAATGGGAGCTGGTGGTGCTGGAGTGGTAGAGGTGGCGGCGTTTTTTTATATTTTTAAATTTTTTTAATTTTTTTTAATTTTTATAAAAAATTATAAATATTTTATAATTTTTTTAAATATTTTTTGACGTTTTTTTTTATTTTTTACGTTTTCGTTATTTTTTTATTTTTTTATTAATTAAGACATTTCAAAAGCATCAAGGGTATATTTATCCAAATACACATAAATAGTTCTACTAGGGGGAATAAAAAACATGCAATTTTAATTGTGCTTTTGGGCCACTTTTTTGACCTATCTAAGTAACTAACTCAAAAACTTATTATCAACCTACTGTTGGATTTAACTTGGGTTCGGGAAAGTCGTCAAACCATTTGGTGACTTATAAGTCGTCAAACCGGATGTCGAGTTACCCTTTAACACAGACGGGGCCAGATAACAACGCCGCAGACAGAACGTTTGCAGTGACAAAAAAAGCTCCGGCAGAAATTGAAGCACACTCTCCATTCCGACGACTGCAAGGACTCGAAGGCCATTCCACCAACCAATGACACTCCCCAACAATCTTCTTCAACCTCTAGGCAAATCAAATCCCTAACTTCACCTCATTTTTCAACTTAGGGTGTTGTGTTAATGCCCCGAATGTGGCTCGGCCCATTACCTCCTTGGCAAATAAAGCACCATCAGAGCCCAATCGGTGTGGTACATCAAAATGCTCGGGGGACGAGCGTCGGGTGCGTCAATACTCTTGGCCTCAATGACTTTATCTAACAGGGATCATAGCATATGCCAAAAGTTTCAGCCAAGCAATGGGCGTAGGCCGTACGGAACCGGCCATTGCACTCATCAAGACCCAAGGCCCAACATCCAGAGGACGCTCGTCCACATCCCATGGCGGGAAATCAAGATAGTGGCGGGAGACACATCTGATGCAGTAGACTTGGTGGTTGGACAGCTAGCCATCCGCAGTCATCCACGTCAACAACACTACATACTCCTTGGTAGTATAAATAGTAACAATTATTTCATTATAAAAGCATTTAACTCTTCTTCACTAAGATAGACGAATGGTCTCGATGCTTGTAGTTGAAGTGTGTTGTATACGGACCCTTATTATAATTTAATAAGATACTGCCCACTTACTAATCTCGTATTGACCCATCTTACTTGCTTGCATCACATATCCACCGAACTCTCCACTCGAAATCCAAGGGAAACGTGTTGGGCCTTTGGGTTAAAGGATTAAACCTCAACATGGGGTTTCTAATAGATAAATTTCGAATTTGTAATTTGGGAATTGGTTAGTGAATTGATTTGTTGTGTAATGTGGATATGTATGAAATATTGAATTTTAATGTGGATATTAATGTAATATTTTGATTTTGTTAAGTACATTATGGATTCTTATATGAAATTTTGAATTGGGGAAATTAAACATATTAATGTTAGAGTGTATAATATTTGATTTTGAAATGTTTCTTTATTATATGATATTAATAATGGTATGAAATATGAGATGTTCAATTGAGAAAATTGAACATATTAATGTTAGTGTGTAGAATATTTGATTTTGAAATGATGAAGTTGGGTGTTTAAAGTGTGTATACTAACATGTACTCATCAATTATCGTCATGTATTGTTATTAGAATATGAATTTCTCCAACTTCTCAATAATGTCATTGGGAGGAATATTATTTGAGAAAGCAGGGGGGATACGCTATGAAGGTGGTAGGAGAAGGATTGTAGTTGTTTCTCGTGGCGCATGTCTGCTAGAGATGTTGCAAAAAATACATGTTGCTACACAGATTTCTCCAAAACATTCTTTGCAAGTGAAATATCCCCTTCACGGGGAATCATACATGAAATATGCCACTTGATGACGAGAAAGCTATCACAGGAATGTGGATGATAGTTAACATGATGACTGTTTCCACAGTGGAGATATACCGTGCAGAATCCATAGGTGACGCTTCTATAACTCCGTCAACATCAAATGTTGTTGTATTTGGGCACGGTGTTAATGCAGCAGCCTCCCCAATGAGCCTGTTTTGAACATGGTTATAGAGGAGGATGTGAGTTATTTGCACAATGGTGCATCCTTTTTAGATGGCCATGGAACTGATGTTGATGCTAATGAAAACATCAATGATGATGAAATGACAGAATCAGATGAATATGATGGTGAACATGAAAATCATTGGTAGCTTAAAAATCCCTGATGGATTGCAGGATTGGAGTAATCAGCGACGTTCCGGCATGTCGATAAAAAGTTATACTCCGTATATTACTCCTTAGTATACTAAAACTTGGGTAGTAAGACTTTGTGGGTTGTAGGCTTGTTTCGTAGTTCAATATATAGTCACTTCACTTTGCATGATGTATATTGGAGATGCTATAATGATGAATTTTGTTTTCAAAAGAAGGGGTCTTCTTCTTTCACTTAAGACTGTCGAGACTAAAAGGTGTGTTAAATAACTTGGGCATGATAGAAATTATGACAATTATGTGTTTGTGAATTGTGATTTTAATAATAAAAGAAGGGTTTAAATAGAATTTCGGAATTTCCCTTTCCTAAACTATTTCCATTAAAAAAGCCCAGAGCCATCAATCTGGGCAAACCCAGATATAAGCCCAATATATTAATCCGGCATGTTGGTATCAAGCGCAGTATAGGGTTTTATAAGGATTTAAGATTACGATTGTTGAGGGAGGCTGGCTAGTATAGGGCAAACTACCGAAGCACAACCAAGACTAGTTAGCCTGCTAAGTCAAGAATGCCTAAATCCAAGCGTAACAGACCAGGTTAGCGCTGTATCTTTGTCTTAATTAATGGTGATTTTTCGCGTATTTTTTCCCCTATCACACATCAAGAAATCGAAGAATTTGAACTTTTTCATGAAATTTACTCCCCAGTTTTGCCCATAAAATTGAAACTCGCCTTCATCTTCTTTGATTTCTTTGTTGTATACTTGACATCAGTGACTCTATCCAAGACGAAGAAGAAGGATAGATCCCACAAAGAGAACATTATAAATATGATCAGGGATTCTGCTGAGAAGCATAGTTTCGTTTACGTTTTTGGCTTCGAGAACATGAGGAATCTGAAGTTTAAAGAGTTCAGAGAGCAGCTTAAATCTTCTAGCAGGCAAGCTTAAGTCATGTTTTGGCAAAAATTTAAATGTTTATGTGGTTCGAAATTGAAATTCAAAGGCCATTAGTGCTTAGGTCTGAAAGGAGTGATGTGTGTAGTCCAGCTTTTTAAAACTAATCAAGAATCGTAGTCTTCACTGGATAAAAAATTAGTATATGGATACATTTAATTATTTGAGATTAATGCCATACTCAAGCTGTAACCTGTTTGGCAATTAAAAAGGTTAAAACACTGGTTTATTCAGCTTATACTTAATTGTAATGACACATATACAGATTTTGCGCTAAATTCTTGCCAGTTTCAAATATAATTGAATTGCTTGGAGATGTGGTCTAAACTCTCTAAAGTAAAATTCCTTTCCCTTTTCCTTGTGTTCAGATTTTTTCTCGGTTCAAATAAGGTTATGCAGTTAGCATTAGGTCGCTCAGCTGCTGATGAAATTAAACCGGGTCTTTATAAGATATCTAAGGTACATGTTCATGTATGATTTTTCCCAGGTATTATGACCCTATTTGTAACTTGTTGACCGTGATCTTTGTACAGCTATTGCGTGGAGATTCAGGACTTTTATTCACTAATTTGCCCAAGGAAGAGATTGAAAGGTATCTCTTTGCTGGCATCTAATGATGAGTAACCAGTGCATAACTTATTTACTGGACACTGGTTTGAATAAAGATATTTGTAATTTTGTTTTATTTTACAATTTCATTTCTGAAGAACTAAACAATGTTAACACGGAGTAGTTTGTACATCTCTCAAATAATTTAGGCACATGTTGTTTATCATCCATTTCTTCATATCGTTTGATATTAATTAGTTCATTCAGACATTAAAAAACTTTTCCAGATTATTCAACCTTTATGAAGAATATGACTTTGCGAGGACTGGGAGTCTTGCAACAGAAAAGGTACGCCTAATGTTTATGTGGCACCAGTTTGGTATCCTATGTCAGAAAATTATGCTTATCCACACACGTCTGTGTTTGTTTGAAACCTCTGTACTAGGTTCTATCTTTTATGTTGAACTGTTGAATCCATCTTTAACCTCTTAGGTGGAGCTAAAAGAAGGCCCTCTGGACCAATTCACTCATGAGATGGAGCCATTTTTGCGCAAGCAAGGAATGCCTGTTCGGTTAAACAAAGGTAGTTACCCTTTTGTTTCTACCTGATTGTGTAAATGTATAATGTATGAATATATGGTTACTATGGACAATATATAACATGATGTTTCATGTCTACCTCGATTAACAAATTTTGTGTCACACTGTAAACAGGTGTTGTTGAGCTAGTTTCAGACTATGTTGTCTGTGAAGGTGGGGAACCTTTATCCCCGGAAGCCGCTCGTATACTGGTTCGTTTCGTCTCTATCCAATCTTACATCTTTCTGTGTTCAAGGTTTATATATTTAATAAATACGAATATCTCATTTGTATAATCTTTCTGTGTAGTAATTATAGTCATATTTGTGTAAATAAATTTTATTTTAGTAATATATTTGAAAAAACTCATAAAGAATTATGTACTACCAGGTTTGTCATTTGTACGACAGACTAGACCGCTACTAATTGGTGCAAATTTTGGTTTGATTTGGCTGCACCCAATCAAAAGTAATTTGAATCAAAGCTGAAACATATGTAATTTAGTTTTAGTTGGTAATGTTTATTTCTAAACCGTATTTTGATTAAAACCTAACTAAACAAGAGTAACACATTTAATCCTCAATATGAAAAAAAAAGATTCCCGAACTGCACTAGACAAACAAACTAAGTCTTGTTTAGATGTGGCTATCAATTTCCCACTTTCCCAACCTGTTTTAAACTAAATGAAACTGTTTTAAAAACTTGACTGAAGGTCAATTTACCACTCCTATATCTTGTTGGTAGACTGGGCCCTAGAACTTGTGCTGGCGTAGGTGGAGCCGAACAGGGATTCAGCGAATAAGAATTCTGAAACATGATAAGAGGCATACTTACTTTCATCTTCTTGTTATGCAGCGTCTGCTTGGCATCAAGATGGCTACTTTTAAGCTACACCTGATATGCAGGTGGAGCCCAGATGAATTTGAAGTCTATAGAGAAAATTTAGAAGATTCTGATGTGGAATCTTCATAGGGAATTCAAAACACGTTCTCTTTGGTAAACACCGTCTTTGTCTGCCAATGATGTGATTTGGAGAATGTTTTGTTAAACGCCTTTAGGCAATTGCAGGCGGTGCACTCTTTGGTGTGAGCATCATTTGGGTTTGACAAATTTTGCTTGCATTAGGGAGTGTTGAATCTTAGAGACTTAGAGATGGTGCAATGAGTGCAAGAGATTCTCAGTAATGTGTCTTGAGCATCATTCAATGTAATATGCGTTTTTATGTTCCCCTGCAAGACATGTTCAGCGCAAGAGATTCTCAGTAATGTCTTTTATGCGTTCTTATGTCTTTTATTAGTGTATCGAGTGTTCGTAACTAAATTTGAATGAATTTACTACAGAACTTGTGGTTGAAACAATATAATTGATTGTTTGGAAGAAGGTGGCTTATATCAAATAATCTAAACTTGGGCAAGTAATAAAAAGACAAAATCCACCCCTATCGTCATTCGAATTAGATTTAGATTTAATCATCTTGAAGGCTTCAATGAAACAATATGCAAAAAAATCATCATGACCAACGCAAAAAAACAAAATCAAAACTAGTGGAGTTCAATTGTTTCCCCAAAAGTTTGAAATATTGTTATTTTCCTACAGATTTATCTATAAAACTGAAATAATACTTATAACTTAATTGTTGCACTTATTAGATTTAAAGATTATTTTCTTTATTTTTTAAAAAGAATATGCTAACTATGTTATAAATTTGGTTGACATGGACACTATGCAAAAAATTATCAATGTTTTGGTATATTTTAATACTGCAACTTTAAAAGCGCAGTTATCTTCTAAGAATTCATTTGAATGCCTTTCCGATTGAATTGTTAGCTGAAATTTGATATGAGTAAATTAGACTTAATGAATAAGATACTAAAAAATTTCATCAAAAAATTCCACTGAGATCCGCCCCAAATGGCGACGGTCGGGCCTCCTATATAAGGGCTTATTTGACTTTTTTTATGTAAGTTCGAGAATGACCATTTTTTCAAGAAACAATATGATTCGACAATCCAATAATTAACACAATTGAGTCGAAGCTGGTCAAAACATACATTTCATGACTTGACCCATAACTAAAGTAAAACAAAAACATAACAAAAAAATCATCCTGACAAATGCAAAAAAACAAAAACAATATCAAAACTAGTGGAGTTCAATTGTTTCCTTAAAAGTGTGAAATATTGTTTTTTTCCTAAACATTTATCTATTCGTTGAAATAATACTTACTCCCTCCAGTTCACATTCTTCTTTACACTTACTTATTCATTGGTCAACTCAAGTCACTTTTAATCTTTTACTTTATATATCAAATTTTTATCGAATTTAAATTTTCTTGATCAGGCTTTGTAGCGGTTCCAATGTAGTTTCTGAATATGTAAATTTTATTTACTAAAAATAATCTGAGTGTGAACAGGGATCGAGTTGCTTTATCGTCGGTCAAGCATTTTTTCCGAAGTGTCAAGGAGAATGTGAACCGGAGGGAGTATAACTTATTTGATATACTTATTAGATTTTAAGATCATTTTCCTAAAATTTAAAAAAGTTGAGAGTGGACGGGCCTAGGGTTAGGCGAATAGCTTTGAACAGTTTTTGCTTGGCGTGGGAGAAGGACGGCTTCAATCGGCGCTCGTTCGGCGTCTGAAGGAAGTCCTTCGGAGTCTGAATTGAAGGCCTGGTGGTGCGCGACGCGATCGGAAGGCTGTCTACGTCCAGGAACGCTGCTTGACGGTTGGGCTGGTGGTGCGCAGCGCGATTGGAGTCGGTTGCTGCTTCGAATTGCTCGTCGGTCATCCAAGGGAGTGCACAGGTTCGACTGAGGGCAGAGGGTTCTGACCAGTGGTGTGGAGAGGCAGGGGGCTGGGGAAGAAATAGCGTTTCTGTGTTGCGGACATCTCCGTTTGGCAAAGGCTGAGGTCTGTGAGGGGATTGCGGGAAGAAGACGCAACAGAGGAGCCGTTGTGATGGGAATTCTCGGTGGACCCGGAGATGACTACGGACCAGTGGCAGCTAGGGTTGCGAGGCTTGATATTCTGATGCTGGGATTGGCTATTCTGACTTTGATGATGTTTGAGTTGAAAATTACACCGGTGGTATTTGACCCGGGTGGAATATTGGCGACGTGGAGACTGGATGGAGGGGTGTTGGGATCCAATCAGGTGGTGGAGGTTTTGATGCGAGTGATTCGGCTAACTCAGGTGGAGGAAAAAGACGGTATGCGAATGTTTCGTCCCCCACCGGAACCGCCACCTCAGAGGAGCTTCAGGATTAGGGTCTGGAAGAAGACGTCTGCAGTACGTATTGCGCTGCTCCACCAATTGAATTTTATTTTACATTTTACTATTGTTCTTTCCCTGTTTATTTTTAGTTGGGAAAGTTACCGAAATAGGACTAAAACAGTTTGAAAATTCCAAAATAGGACTGCCAAGTTTTTTATTCCCAAAACAGGAGTAATTACTGCCATGTTTGGAAAATACTGCCATGTTTGAAATCTGGTACTGCCAAAACATGGCAGTAATTAGTCTTATTTTGAGAATAAAAACATGACAGTCCTATTTTGGAATTTTTAAACCTTTTTAGTCCTATTTCGGGTAATATCTCTTTTTAGTTTTGGATTCACAGTGGATTGGTTGGGTTATGCTTTTGAGGTTGGTAGGTATTGGTTTAGAAGAAGTATGATGGCTTCAGAAGCCGAGATGATCTTCAAATCTCTCACATGGTTAGCGATTCGATCCGCTCTTCTTAGGGTGGTCGTTTCTATGTCTAATCAAAGAGCGAGGGGACCTTCGGGTTATGATGAGTTTGGTAGTATGAGGTTGATCCGTATGGATAAGTTTGTATTGTCGTTGATTGTTGGAATTTAATATAATCAATCAGTTTCCTTTCAAAAAAAGATCATTTTCCTATTTTTTTTAAAAGAATATCTTAAATATATTATAAATCCGGCTGACATTGACACTATGCAAAAAATTATCAATGTTTTGGTATATTTTAATAATGCAACTCAAAATTTAGTCATATTTATAATTAATTATAAATCTACTGCAAACCAATTTTACGTTGAATATGTTAATCTCGCCGGTGCTTTTTCTGAACTTTCCTATGCCCCTTTCGTTCATTATTTTTGTGATTTTATGAAAGAAAAGTCTTTAAAATATTATTCAATATTCCGCATATATATGATATTGCATTTATTCTTGATCCTCGTTTCAAACTTAATGCTTTTCAAAATTATTTAGAGTACTATTATGGTTGTTTTTTTTTGCTCTATTACCTATTTACGAAGATAAGCCCATAGATCGTAAATAGCAGTACACCGAGTTTCATCAATTATAAAATGAGTTTCATGCACAATATAGTAACACACCCCCTCCCCGGACACGGGCATCTTTTTCATGTAAAGGAAAATCAGTTTTGAAATCTACATTTGGCAATCTTATGAAAAAAACAAAAAAGTAAATCAACTCCCGCTGTTGCACAAAACTCGATTAACAAGCTTTCTTTATATATAACGTTTTCTGTTGATTATGAAGATGGGGAAGAGTTTAACATTCTGCAGTAGCGGAAGGACAAAGAAAGAACATTCCTGATTTTATCAAAGATGGTTAAACAAGTGATAGCAATGCCGGTATCAACAGTTGTCGTGGAACAAAAATTTAGTGCGACCGGCAACTTCCTAACGGAGTATAGAACGAGATTGAGCGCAAAATCGATCTCTATAGGCGCTTGCTTGCTTCCACGATTGGTTGAAGGTCGAGCGTAGAACTCAAGAAGCTTGCATCACCACCACCCTCCACTTCATGGAGGAAACAACAACAGACAGTGTCAGAGATTCCAACTGACTTTTAGGAAATGCATTTAATGTTTTAACTTTTTCTCAATTCTCAAGTGTGGTTCATATTTCAAATAAATACACTTTAACTTTTTATTATCTAGCACTTGTTGTATTAATTTCTAAACAAAATTAGCAAAAAAAAAAAGTGGCCCAACCCGACCTGAGGCCCGTCCTGAACCGGACCGGATCCGGGCCTGATTTCCCAAACCCCGATCCCACCCAGACCCATCTCGAGGCCCGTCCAGTCCCGAGGCCCGGTCCATCCCTACCCAACACCACAAGAAGCTCGAGCTTTTCTTCTTGTGAAGAAGACTTTCTTTTATACACACACACATACACACACGTGTGTGTGTGTATGCGGGTGGGTGGTTGGAGCTGGTGATGAGTTGGATGAGTGTTCATCCACACCCGATCCAACCCGTCTTTCAATCCACCCGTCATCCATTTTTCATCCATACCTGTTCGGGTTTTTGTCCAAATTTTCGGTTCGGGTTGATCGGGTATCTGTGTGTGCCATACCAATACATCACCCTCAACACTCCTTACACCTCAACCTATTATTCATAGCTCTCATTTGGCATCTTGAGCACCCAAACACGTGGGGTGCCCCCACTCATGTGGGAGGTCATCCCAATATGTCCAAAATTGTATATTCGGCCCCCGAAAGTTGTATTTCTGAACTGTTTTAATTATATTTTATTTATCGAGCCAAATAAGATATATATATCTATTTCCCAATAACTATGGGCCTTTAGAATGAATATTCATTCCCCAACTTTAATGTAGAAGTCCCCGAAATTCATTTCGGCCTGTTATCTGATAAATTACCAATGCCGGTAATTGAGTCTCATTTGACCAACCGACCAACTTTATGCCTTTCATAGGGCCCCAAATAAAATATCCACCACCATATAAATATTATCTAGACCAAGATGAATTTAATATGTGGTCCCGGAAATATCGGGTGGTCCCCGTTCCCGGTGAGGGTCCCGCGTGAATTAACTATTCACGCAAAAAAAGTAATAACAAAATTTACAACCTCGTAAATTCATTAACCATTCCATAAGGTTTAATACATTATTTACATAACAGTAAACATACTTAGAAATTTGCTATTGGTACCCCCAAAAATTACCCCATCTTTACCCCATATAAATACCTCCCCCACTTTTCTCCTCCCCTTCCTCCTCCCTCCCCCACTTTTCTTCCCCCCTCCCCCTCTCCCCTGGTTCTTCGTTCCTTTCACACAGCCCATCCCTTCCCTTTTCTCTTTTACTTTTCTCCATTTCAAGATCTCTCCATTTCTTAAATGTTTCTCATTTTTACCATCTTTTCCTCCTTCAACCTTCTTCTCCTACTTCTCTCGTCTTCCGCCTTTTTTTCCATTTCAAATGGCGGAGCTACAGTAATTATCGGACAAATGGGGAGAGCTAGGTGAACAAGAAGGAACAACGAAAGGTGTAGACCAAGAAGTTTAGAGCAGATCTTATTTTCTTGATTTTTTGTTCTTGATTTTGTTTTCTTGTTTTTTTGGGTGTGTTTTCAAAATAAAAAG